GGAATGCAATATGGCAAGTGCAACAGTGACTGCACAGCCCTCTTCAGGATTCTCTCTGCTTACCCCACATGGGAAGGGAGCTAGAAAAGGTGTCCTAAACACAGCCTGTCTACCTTCTTCCTGGCTGGATAACCACATCCAGTGGGATCACCTTTACTGAGGTCAAAATCAACAAAGACACGCATTCAATTTTGGGACCTGGAACATCAGGACCCTCATGGACAATTGTAATAGTGAACACCCAGAGCACCACACACCACAATCATGGCTCAAGAACTCAAGCATCAACATAGCTGCACTGAGCGAGACCTGGTGAGCAAGAGACGGGCAGCTCAAAGAACAAGGAGGTGGCTACACCCCCTTCTGGAATGGCAAACAAGAAGGAGAATGCCAGCTTCCCCAAGTTGGTTTTGCCATCTAGAATAAACTCATAAATCAGCTCAGTGAGTTCCCTATCAGAATTTATGACTCATGACTCCATCTTAAACTGAATGAAAGGGAACCGATACACCACTGTCATCAGTATGTATGCCCTGACTCTTGATGCCACCAATGAAACCAAGGAGGAATTCTATGCCAGCCTTGACCAAGTCCTTTCTGAGGTTCCAGATGGAGACACACTTATTTTTCTCAGCAATTTCAACTCCAGAGTTGGAAGGAACTTGAACCTCTGGCACAGATCCATCAGCAAGGAAAGAGTAAGAAAGGTCAACTCCAATGCCATCTTTCTCTTGGCCAAATGCACATAACATGGATTAAATACCCTGTTCTGCCAAAAAAACAGGCACAGGACATCATGACAACACCCACAATCTACGCACTGGGACCTGATTGACTATGTCACTGCTTGTGCCGCCTGGGATCGCAAAGATGTCTGCATCACTTGAGCTATGCTGGGAGCTAACGATTGCTGGACTGATCACTGACTCATCCACTCAGTCATGTCACTCACACTAGGTCCCAAACGACAGCTGCAGCAGAAGCAATGCCAATGGAAGATCAATGTTGGACACAAGGACCCAATCAAGCAAGACCTCTTTCACCCATGCCTAAAAAAAACCAACCAAAACCTAGAGAATTCCAATCAACAACAATGGGAGAATATCAACAGCGCTTGGGGTGCCTCAGTCCACCATCATCAGCGCCTGCAAAGAGACACTTGGTTTCTCTACCAGGAAACATCAAGACTGGTTTGATAAGAATAAGCAGGAGATCCAAGAGCTGATCAACAGCAAGCCATATCAATTCCAAGCAAAAGAAACTGAATCTCCCAACAAGCCATGGCAAAGATCCAAAACAGAACCTGCGATATGAAGAACAGATGGTGGGAAGACATGGTGAAGGACATTCAACCACTCACTAACATCCATGATATGTACATTTTTTTCAAAGCCAAAGCCATCTAGGGTCCAAGCACTCAGACTAACCCTCTTGACACCCAAGGATGGAGGAAGCCTGATCAAGAAAAGGGAAGCCATCAAAGAGCATTTTGGAAGGAGCATTTTGAAGACCTTAAATCGAGATTCTGTTGTTGACAAGAGTGTTCTCAACTCCATCCTGCTCCAGTCGCTGAGAGTCTGTCAGTCCCGGATCAGCCTCATCAGCCAATTTTCAGACCCACAGATAACACGTTCGTGGCAAACAAACATCCTCAACTGCAAGGGATTGACAAAGAGTATGGGACTACTAACCTCAATATCAAATCCAACATTTTTGTTGCCTTCTTGATGCACTGCATACAGGTTGGAGATAACTTCATTAGCCTTTACTCCAGAATTTTCTGCCAGTGATCGGGGAATGGCTTCAAAGGCCTCAGCAAATTTCTTGATAGCATACTGATCTAGCCCAGGACAGGTCTAAAGTGAAGTTTGAAAACTGTTTAGTATGTAAAACGGTAAAACATTTATAATAACCAGCAACAACAAGAAAGAATGAAAAGACGTACCTCTCCATAGGATGTAATCTGCTTGGCCAACTCAATTTCTGTTGCACCACCTCCGGGGACAAGACGCTTGTCCTGTGAACCAAACCCCAGAAAATACATCATTAAGTGTTTCAATGCATCTTTAGTCCATAGAAACTATTATATCTTTAACTTCTAGAACCAATTTCTGTAATCTTAATATCAAGAAAACATTAAAGCTGATTTTTATTCCTGCATTTGTGTAGAGGTAGGCTTTATTGGTTGAAGCACCAAAAGGTAAAAATATACCCAGTTTCAAATATTTGGGGGGGGGGGGAAGAAACACATTATTTTACAAAAGCAAAATAGAAGCACCAATAATAAATCTGTTTTAAAAAAACTCAGTTAACAACACAACTTGCTTTGGAAATATAAGAAAAACACTGTAGATTGGTAATTTCTCTCCAGCTGATCTATCTATCCCATAACTATTCTCTCAAACAGTTGAACAACTTTGTTATTCTTAGCTGACAAGGAACTTGTAAACTTCACTCAAACATTAGCAAGATTAAAAAACATCTGACCTAAAAGTATTTCCAAAAGCTTTTCCTATACTATTTATCAAACCTGCACACACAAAAGTCTTCAATTATTTCTGCTACTTTCAAATCAATCACTTAAAATTGTATCACTGAAATGTACAGTTTTATTAGAAAACTGAGCTGTCCTAATACAGAAACTCAACTTGCTTCCTGTATGCTTTCTAAGCCTGCTTATACAACTCAAACCGTCATCACCAAAGGTAATGCCAAGCAATATCTAGATTGCTGGCTGCAACCAGTTTTCAATAGCTATGACAGAAGCCTGGTGAAATGGTCAAGTCAAACCACTGATTCACTGGGCATAGTGTTGTCTAGTCACACCAGCTTTATTTGTCTACAAGGGACTGTATCTTGGCTAACAGAAGAGAGACCACTCAGTGCACTGGCCATAACCCATTCCCTACATAATGGCTGTAGAAGGAGCAGAGGAAATGGCCACACGGAGAGGTTGCAAAATGGCTTCAAGATCCTTTATATCATCCAAGCATCACAATTAAGATCAGCAGGCTATAGTCTCAACCCAAACATCTTTATCTAAAAACTTATGGAGGAGGAAGTTTACTCACTCTAGTAAGTACTTTGAAAGTATTAACACCATCATCTACTGCTCTCTCTACATCATCCATTAAATTGTCTGTAGATCCACGGATAAGTATAGTAGCTATGGAGCCATCTTCCTTTTCTGTAAAGGCAAGTAGACATAATTCTTTGGAGAATATATTAGAACAGAAACCATTTATAACCACATCTATTAATGACAGTACCACTGCATCACCCTTGAAAACAAACATACCATGCTTAAACACAACAACTTGTGTATCCCCAACCTCTGACAAATAAACACTATCACAATGACCCATTTCTTCTGGCGTAGGTGGAATCTGGAAAGAAAAAACAGAAATCAGAAGATTCTATTGACAAAAGGTCTCTCCCCACCCCACCCCCGCAACCCTTCGACTCGTTTGTAAACTGCTTACCAGTCTAGGAAGAGCAGCTGCACCAACAGTTTTACACAGTCTCCTGAGATCCCATTTTGAGTTCAACCTTAAAAAGAAGGATTCCTTTTAGTGATGCAGTTCCCAAAACTATATAAAGAAAAACCTTTTCTATGTAATTTGGTAGTATGTCATGATGCTATCAAACTAGTTTAGTGATGGCTATTACAACATGATGAGGTCATCACTAGCATACTTCTGCAATTGTTTCATGCTGACAAATATAATGTTATCGGTTTTAAAGCAACTAAAACACATTTTTAAATCCTCTAAGTATTTGTTATGTAGGATATTAATCTTCACTTAATTAAATATCATTGTGCATTATTAAACCTTACACCATCTGTTAGGAGAACAATGCCCATCTCTGAACTGTACCAATAGGGAAACAGGTTTAGTCACCTGTCAAAGACTACCAGTTCCCATCCGGGTTTTGTATTATGATCAAGCTTTGCCTGGGAATCCAATGCCAGATTTCTGAAAACATAGCTCTAACCATTTAACTGTCAATTCAAATTTGTATCAACAGAACTACCTTTTCTACACACGGCCAAGATTTAATAAAAATATAATTCATATATATATATATATATTAATTACTTACACGCGCACGCACACAGTCTGTTCAGCTTTTGTAGTTTGTGCCTAGAATATATATATAAACTGCATCTACGTATAAAATACATTTTCTTTATAAAATGAATTAACCTGCACATGAAAGTGACTAAATGGCCAGATTTCACTGCTTCTTCCATTTATAAACTACTGGTAGTTGGAATATACGCTTCAGCACACTACAAAAAGCAGTTGTGTTACTCCAACCTGCTCTCTCAGTATTTATTGGCAGATTTAGTAAAGAAGAAGAGTTCTCAGTTCTTGAATTGCAAAGTTATTTGCAAATGAAGAGATCTACAGTATATATCAGAGGCAGGCAAAAATACAGCCCTTGGGTACCCACCAACTAACAGCACTCAACCAAGGCCTTCCACCCATGAGGGTGGGAGTGAGGCACCCACACATACACCCCAACATACCCTATTCCACCTCACACCCATCCTGTACACAGAAGGGCCTAGCCCAGCCAGCACAGAGTTTCCAGATGGGACTGCTGCTGCCGCCACTGCTGCAGCCACCAGGGAACCTGCTTGGCTTCTCTGGTGTCCCACTTGCTCTAGGCACCAGGTAGGGAAGTGTCAGGGGAGCTGCAGCTGGGCAGGAGCACGAGGCCAGGGCTGGCAGCAGCATGGAGCCCGCACCTGGGGAATAGTGGGAGCACAGAACTCGGGTGGGCAGGGCGTGGGGACCCCCACACACACTTCCCTCACCTATGGCACACAGTCCCTGCCACCAGCTGCAGGAGCAAGAGCAGGCAGGGGTGCTTGCACCTGGCAAAGGCACTTGCACTGGCAGCGTGTGGCTCCAGCCAGCACTGAATGTGGGGGCAAGGAGGCCAGCCTGCCTTTTTATCATACAGGGGTCCCTGCAGCGCATACGCAGCTCCCACATTCATGTGCCACTGGGAGAAGTCCCACTGCCTTCACCCCCTGCTGTGCAGGTCCTGGGACTCCCCTCTACTTCCAGCACAGTCTTGAGACCTGCATGGCAGGAAGCAGTGAACGCAGCCAGCTCCATCATGCAGGGCTTCCCCCAGTAGCAGGCGAGTGCAGGAGCTGCACATGCATCACGGGGAGCACCCCGTGCAAAAGAGGCAGGCTGGCTTGACTGGGCTCCTCACCCCCATGATGCAGCTGGCAGCAGTGCCTGCACTGGGCATGAGCACCCCAAGTGCCGCCACCTCCTGCTGCTAGTGGACTGTGCCCCATGGGGGAAGAGTGTGTGGGTGGGGTCCCCACACCTCCCCACAAACCTGATACCCACACCCTGTCCCACAGCCCCACTTATATACACACACCTCCAACATACCCTACTGCCCCTCAACATACACAGCCACACCCCCTCACAGCCCCTGCTACACCCCACCATACACACCCCCCCACCTCCAACATACAAAAGTAAGACTTTTTGAGTTATTACGCAATCTTCTGCATATACACTACACAAACACAAAACATGACAAAAATATTTTCTGTAATAAAATTAAAATATGTTATAGTAGCTGTTTGACTTTTAGTGTACAATTTGATTTTTTTTCTGGTTCCCCTCCCAAAAGGAGTATTTCCAGAGGGCAAGGGGAGGGATTTCCAGTGGCAAAGTTCAGGGGTTAAGGGTGGGACTTCTGGTCCCAAGATGGCAATCAGGGGGCAGAGCACCTGTCAAGGGGCACAGCTACCATTGCAGCCCCCAACAGCTCACCAAAACTCAAGCGGCCCCACATCCAAAATAATTGCCCGCCCTGGTATATAGATAATTACAACAAAGCTATACGTCATACAAGATGTACTACACTATCAAAGAGCCACAGTTATGTTTAGCAAGATACCATAAATTCCACTAGCCTAAAATAAGTACTCAACTTCATTCTATGCTAGAAGGCAAATACATACATATACTTGAGAACATTCAGATACAGAAAAAATATCCGATGCATTTAATAGGCCTGATTTTCAACCATCAGGCCATTATAATCCTTACCTGACTAACATCAGATGGTATTTGTTGGCATAATGAAGTGCCATATCTGCCACTTTGCCACCTGTTACTATTACATTTGCACCAGCATCAGCTATGGTCTTAACTTGCAGCTCCATTAGATTTTCTTCTCCTTTGCTGAAACTCATCAGTTCTTCAGCATTCTTTATCAACACAGTGCCCTATGAAAAGGGAATATTTTTAAATTTACAAATCATGTGAACTAATATGCAAGGTCTTAAGAGACAAGGTCTTAAGAGACAAACAAACCCTTCCCACTCATAACAACAACACATGTTTAATCACTGTCTCAGTCATGAGTGAGAACAATGGAGGAGTTTAACATTGATTTCTGGTCAACAAAATTGGACCCTCTCTCTCTGGTCCAATTTTGGACCGTCAAAAATTATAAATTTGTATAAATTATAAATTTGTATTTATATCCAAATACAAAATAGGTTTCCAGTCACCACTCCTGCCGTTAAACTATAAGCCAGATATTGGGGAAAGTAATATATGGTAATTTGTTTGAACAAAAATAATTAGTGTCATCCATAAATGGATGGAAAAAGGCCAGTGGGAAGAAATGGTCCAAACTGATTTACACCAGACAAAAGGGAAAGACAAGATAAAACCTCTTAGCACAGCCTACATGTCATCAAGGCAACTACAACAGTCGCCAACATCATTACAGAATTTTTCAATAGAAGAAAGGTTAAGCCATTATAATGCAGCTTCAACCCAACGTCTCTAACTTTAAAGATAATTTTAAATCATCTACCATCATGGCATGCTACAGGTTCTTACAATTAAGTTAGTATCAAAGGTTAGAGATTCATGAAAGCACAACTAAATTATGCGGAGGGAACACAAAAATATTCTCAACCTTCAACTCTACATGCATTCAAATTAGGTTTCTATACTGAGATCTTTGTTGTATGTTGCCATGTCAGCAATTCTTATGTAAAGACATTTTAGCTCAGCAATTCCCAAACTATGGTAAGGTCTTAACACTGTTACAATAAAAACCACACACTGAGTACTGAATGTGTGTGCATAAATTGCTACAGAACATATTTAGGACACCAACATACCTTGGTTTCAGTTAGTGTGCCATCAAAAGGACAGGAATAAACAGCTATTTTAGCATCTTTGACAGAAGTCACATCTCCCTCAGTTTCCTTTTTAAAAACCATGCCATGAAGTACTGAAGAGGCAGAGATACCAGAGCCCTAAAGAGAATAGATAGGACAGATAAAAAAAAGATCATACTGCTGGCTATGTTCCACTGAAGAACTACATCATTAGCTCTTACTCTATTTTTTAAAAATGCATGTTTGAACAGTGTGGCATGTGCATGTACTCCAAGGAATGGAGAAAAAAAACCCGTAAGTGACTGAGGAATTACAGGACACAGTTCTGTAGAACTCACAGATGTGCGTGTTCTACAGCTGTAAGAATTATAAACCTGAAGTAACCTCTCTCTCCAATTTTTTAAAGAAAAGAAATGCAGCCAAGGAAAGGATTGGCAAAAAATTCTAATATTATTAAAGCCTAAGTCTGTTTCCCTGTCTGTCTGTAACGTTTTATTCGCACTCTGATTGGCTGTTTCCATCAGCCAGTCAGAGTACTCCAAGCATGGGGAAGTGCTGCCACAACTCCGAAGCCATGCCAAGGACCAGCTCCCACACCCCGTTCCTTGCAAGAGGGAGAACAGAAGCAGCATGGGGTGTTAGGTGGCGGCACTCCATCCCAGTTCCATCCCATCATTCTTGACGGACAATTGGCTAGTAAACTAATAAACACAAACTTGCCCACTCCTGTAAGCTTTATTCAGGCTTAATATCCTACTAAGAGTAAGGACAAACAACAGGATCCTCCCCTTAGCTTTCTTCATCATCTTCCATCTCAGCCTGAATTTGGGTGCACCTTTATTGAAGGTCTGATAATTTCATCTGAGTTATGAGTTCAAGTGCTTTATCTGATTTAAAATCCAAAAAGCCAAGAAGGGTTTGTGCATCTGACACAGCAGTGATTCAACTTTAAGGTACTCTGAAATTAGGAGTGCTAGATAAGTAATTCAACTGGATACTTCTGAAGTCTTATTTTAAAAAGGTCAAAAATATAAGCAAAGTCTTAAGATCTAGACTGAAAGAGGGGATATCAGAAGTCTGATATCACCTAAAAATTAACTACTTTACGTCTGTCATGCCCCTTATTACATTTCATTAGAACTGTGTAGTAATTCACATGGCAGAAAATTCAGAGCTTACCAAAACTTTACACACTCTGATACTGTCAACATTGAAATGACCAGAATCAGGAAGAATAGACACTGTTAGAAAAATGAAAAAAAAAAATTGTTACACAATATCAATATAACATGGAAACACAGTATCAAAAATTGTATGCCCTATTCATATAAAAATAATATATTTTAATGCTTGTTCAAATGCTCTTGAAACAAACAAATGTGAACTTCCAAATTATACTTCATAGTAATAGCAGGAATTTTACAGGCATGTCGTGTCTTACGCAGAGGTTAGGTTCCGAGGTCACCGCGCTAAGGCAAAAATCACATATAGTCAAATGGCCAGTGATTTGACTAGTGGCGACTGCCTCTGCCTCCAAAACCTCCTGCCGCCGCCACGGAGCCGTGCTTGGAGCTGTGCGGCCGGTGGCAGCGGCACAGCGTTGGGCGGGGGGGGGAAAAAGGATGGCTGCATGCTGCTGGGCCACCACCATGCTGCCTAAACCTCCCGCTGCTGTGGAGCCGTGCTTGGAGCTGTGCAGCTGGCGGCAGCGGCGCTGGGAGGGGTGGCTGCGTGGCGCCGGGCCACCACCACGCTGCAACCTCCCGCCGCCGCAAACTCAAGCCCCGCCCCCTCACACCCTATAGTTGAATTCGTGCAAGTTAAATGTGCATATGGCGTGACTGTACTGTACTTTCCAATGCTTGCTACAAATAAGTAGAAAGCCAAACTCTCTTTACTCTGAAGTCACAATAATATTTAGCACAAGAAAAATCAGTGGGCTCTGTTCAGCCCTAGCATCCACTTTAATATAAGGCCCAAATCTGGCTCTTGTATTTTGAAGAAACATTTACACCAGCGATGACATTTTATTCTTGAGTTCTAAGAAAATGGAGCTGTCTGCTCCTCATAACATATAACTCACATTACACTTAAAGTTATTATGTCTTCCAACTACAAACCAGTAGCTGCAACAGTAACCTTCCTACTAAGAAAAAAAAGATGAAAACAGATTTTCACCTTGAGCTATGACTTGCAAGAAAGTTATCTGCACCAAAACTAGTGTATAAGAACAAGCAAAATGAAAAGGTGCTCAAGAAAAAATACCACTTTCAGAATTTAAGTCTTCATAACTATTAATACTGAATTACACTAATTTGATAACTATACCTTTCAATTCAATTTCCATGTGAGCACTTTACCAAAAAAAATAATAAAAACAAGACTACTCAATATAGATATGTACAAACAGCCAACTTATTCATACTTACCACATGCTTGAGCAATAAGGTTGGCCAGGAAGACTTCATTGCCATATTGCTTGCTCATTACTGAGGTGTGCAGCAAAGATGATACTTCTTCAACATCTCGAAGATTTTTTGCAGAACAGCATACTAGATCAGGAAGAATTTCTAGGGCTTTCTTGCAGGCCTTTTCATAGCCTTCTATCACCTGTGATGCAGGCAAAAAAGTTAACTATGACACTCTGGCCTCCCCATAGCATACATTTACATTCAGTGTGCTTCCTTGTGGAGTGTCTTAAAATTTTAAAGTGTATGTATACTGTAATATGGAATATGAGAGAGAAATTTTAATCGCTAAAAAAGGGTGGCGAATACTAAGGGCGCAGACTCAATATTCTTGCTACTAATTCACTCTAAATATTACTCTGTAGTAAATTTACTCCCAATTAAAGAGGAGACACAAAACCAGCTGTCCTGAGGTGACTGCCTACCATAGAAGCTATTACAACACTACGTAAATAGGTGGGGAGAGCGCCAGTCTGCACCGAGCAAAGTGCCAACCCAGGGATGAAAATGACTAAGAAGCAGGCACACAGTCAGCATACAGTCATTTCTCCCATTGAGGGACAACTCTGCTCCACATGGGAATGGCTCTCTCTCATGTAAGACTACGGGGCACTGGCTACTCCATTTTTATTAGTCAACTGGCTTTATAACAAACATCTTGTCTACAGACAAAGTAAAACTACGACAATTCTCTCACTACTCTTCTTTAGCTATACGGTTACTGAAGTTAATCTGGCAAGAAAGAAAACAGTCAAGCGTATTATGGATGCAACCAAGTAGTACAGCCCCAAATCACTAATCTAACATAGTACCTGTGCTGTATGAATGCAAATATCAAAAATCAACTACTTGCCTCCGAAACTGATAATCCCATCCTCAGAAGGTCTTCAGCTAGCTCAAGAAGGGCCCCAGCAAAAACGAGGACAAAATTTGTTCCATCTCCGACTTCTTGCTCTTGCATATGGGAAGCCATTACAATCATTCTGGCAGCAGGATGTTGGACCTGTTCAAAGGTTATATGTTGCCACTGAATTAACATTCCCAATTAGTAAACTTTAAAAATATATATTCTTAACGTTTTGTATGGAAACAAAGAAGTCTTTACAAAAAACACAGTTTATCTAAAAGGGATGCAGATGATTGGGATGGAGGAAGCAAGGTTTTGCTTCTTCTAGAACATGTTCGATTTAGAGTGCAAAGCATCTGAAAATGCCGTGGCGCTGACCATTTTGACATCTTCCGCTTTTCTACATCTAAGGCCCCTACAAGACACACAGGTAAAAGCACTATGGCATCTGATGCACAATCCACACAACTGCACTTCCTGCCATGCCACAAGTGCATGGCAGAAGGTGCAGTTGAGGGACTGCTTGTCATACCCCTGCACACCTCACTGCCAGTGCTGTTAGATGCAATGGCAAGCAGCAAGTTCTGACAGCTGGAAGCCCCCTCACTTCAGGCCTCTAGGCCCACAAATAAATACATAATTCAAAACAGTTAGAGACACACATGACTATAGCTGTAACATTAATTTCTTGTTATTGACTATCTCATTTCAAGATAGTCTTCTGTGGCATTATGCCACATAGGCAAGCCCAAAACATTAGCAATCACAACTTTCTCTAAATTCTAATCTCATTTGGAAGAGAAAACAAGGAATTACTAATGCTATTATTCAATAATTGAAGTAATCATTTATAACAAATGTCATTTTGTTGCAAAGCCCTACTTTTTCGCTTGCTAGATTTGAATGTTGACTGCACACTTGTTAACAGTAGCTCTGTTTTACCACCTTATGTGGGCAGCTTAACCAACAGAACTGAATCCTTGCTAGGAACCCTTAATAGGGAAACCGAGTAAAAAGCTTGTAGTTGTTAGAGTATTTAGCTGATAATATATCAACCAAAATAAAAGATAATATATAATAAAGCACTTACCTCCAGCTCTCTTAAGATCGTTGCAGCATCATTTGTAACAAAAAGTTTCTCCAGATGATTGATCACCATTTTGTTCATTCCTAGGAGCACAAACAGCGTATATATTTTACATACTTGCAAATACTGTTCTAGTTTGAACCAACGTTATTAGTTTTTCAATTCCCAAAATTGAGAGACTTTCTTTCAGCACCTCACCCCCAAACAGTTTAACAGTGGTACAATACAACAGTGTCAGTTTTCTTACAAAGACAGTAAGATTATGAGAAAAGCATTTTGTCTTGGTACTGACCAATTTTTTTTAGCTATGTGACATTAAATACTGAAGTTCCATATTGCCACAGACCACAAAAGGCAGGTCTTTCTACAAGAAAGATACAGCATTGTATTCCTAACTATGACAACAAACTACAAAATTCAACGTTACCATTTGGTCCATAAGCTGTACGGGTGGTTTGGGCAAGCTCCTTACATGCCTGAATGTTCCTAAACACAGCTTCTTCTAATCCAGAATAATGCTACAAAGAGAAGTTTATTACTTAACATTAAAAATTCTAACATAAAATAATTCTCAGTTTTGTTACTGAATTCAATGAGGCCAGGATTTCATTCCCAATATTTAAATACAAGTGACAGTGTTCTTTAAAAAAAAGTAAGGACAAAAAAGTAACGTATTAAGTCTTCCAACTGCCCCACTGGCAGTAGGAGCAAGTTGCTGAACACGGAAAGAGGCAGCTGGGTCCCCTTTTGATGCAAAGTGAATGCCTCAAGTCTATCCCAGTAGATCACTTCTGGTACAGTTACTGACTCATAATATGAAGCTTGAAATATGACGGGCACCAATTTACTTAAGAAAAAAATCTTCCTTCGCTTGCATGAGAATATGTCACTCCCCTTCAGGAGCCATCCCTCCTTACCTCACCCCAAACCAGTTGCATCTTGTTTCTATGTCAAGATGTTCCCTATACCTTAACAAAACCTAGCCTAAACCCTATACCACACAAACGTAACTGAGCTCCCTACTCTGCTAAATAATGCATCTTCACACAAACCCAGCTCTGTAGAGCATGACCAGGTGCCCTCTACATCCAAAAGGGAGGAGGCTGCAGCTCCTTCACTTTGGGAAAAGTAGCCACTGTTTTACTCCCATGCCCCTTCTTAGTTGGGGGGAGAGTCCCCTCACATCTGCTTCCTTGCTCTCCCCACCCCTTTCTTAGAGATCTGCAGCTCCTGCAGTTACTGCCTATCTCCTACCACCCTCTTGAGACAGGAAAGCAGTAGGCTCCCCAACTTGCTCGATCTCCCCTTCTTCATCTTATTAACCTTCTCTCATCAAGCCTTCTTCATCTTACTAAGCCTTTTTCCCCCTTCCAGATAGGGACCAACAATGGCCTAGTGCCCTGGGCCTGTTTATTGTTTCTTCTATACCAGGCTCCTGATAAGTCGGAAATACCTTCTTCAACAGCATCATAGACATTATGCATCTTTACAGTCCACACCAGTGGTGCTCAAGGTTTTGATCCCACAGGCCAAATGAGTGGATGGGCCCAGGGGCCCCAGGCTGCTTCTACCCAGCCCTGCACGTGGGGGATCAGGCCCCTGTGCATGCAACCTAGCATCCAGTCAGGCCCACGACGGTAACAGGGCACCAGGGGTGGATCCAGCCTGTGGCCTGGGGTAGATCACCCCTGCTCTACACCGCTTCTCTAGTCAGGGAGCAGGCAACAGCAGGTGAGGCAGCAGATGGGATGGGGAGCAGAAAGCACAGCAGCAGAGAGCACAGGGTGTAAGGCAGAAAGCAAATTAGTCAGGGAGTACAGAGCTGGGGGGGGCAGGAAGGAGAGCAGCAGACAAGGCAAGGTGCAGAAAGCAGAGCAGTTAGGGCACACGGATGTGGAGCACAAAGCAGAGCAGCGGACGGGGGAGGGTGCACATGGCGGGGGGCAGAAAGCAGAGCAACAGAGGGGCCAGGGCGCACCATGCAGCGAGGAGCGGAAAGCAGAGCAGCAGATGATACGGACAGCACAAGGTGTAGAGAAGAAAGCAGACTGGTAGGGGTATAAAAAGCAGACAAGGCGGGGAGCAGAAAGCAGAGCAACAGAGCCCCCTCTCCCTCCCGGCCGAGCCCAGCGCTTCCAGAAGTTTCCACCCCCCCCTCCCTGGGACCGAACGCCGCGTGGGGGATGCGCGCGCAGCTCCCCGTTCCGAACCCCGCGCGCATGCGCGGCGGGCCCCTGGCCAGGGAGAAGCGAACGCGCCCGGAGCGCATCGATGGCCCTCAGGGCAACGAGTCGAGCGACGCGCTGGTGCTTGGCCACGTGGTGGGGAGGGAAAGGCCTGCGCTTCTCTGTGGGGCGGGGCCTGAGAGCGCGGTGGGCACCGGCCCCGCACAATGGCGGGAGGAATAGCGATGCAGCGCGGCTGCGGCAGGCCGCTCTGGCTTTCATTGGGATTGTTAGGCACGGTGTTGCCGCGCGCGTGGACAGTAATTACCATATTTGTACCATAAGGGTTCAAAATGTACACTCATGTTTGAGGCAGATTATTGATGCAGCACATGCAAAACCCAAATCGCTCTCAGAAAGTATTTATTATTTTTTTTAATAGCAATTTTGTCATGTCCCCCAAGTTAAAACAGCCAAATCAATTCCAAATCCATGAATCATTCAAGAAGCTTATGTGGCCCTGCTACAGGCAAACATCCTCCACCCCTGCCTGGGGCATCAGATGCTTCCAAATCTATTGACAGGCATCCTACATCCAGACCCAAGCCCAGAAGCTTGGGGTTCAGATGCCCCCATGTTTTGCTTGCCCTCAGCCTTATGGCTGCAGGAGCAAGCTTAGAGAGGAGTCCTTCATTTCCATAACGTTGTGTAGCTAAGATCATATCAAGTGATCAGAACTCAGTCCTTGCAAAGACCCTCTTGACTGAGCAGGCAGAACTCAATTGTTCTAAATACCACGTGTGGCGCTAGAAATGGTGAGCATCCTCCATTCCCAACTGCTGACCCTGGGACTTCATATATCCCCAAATCCATTGGCAGGCATCCTACTTGCAGACCCAAGGCCACAGATCTTGGGATTCAGATGCCCCCACCTGATCTTAGCCCACAAGAGGCTAAGACCTAACCTTGAGGTTTACTATCAGCACTTTCTTACAGCTGCTTGCCTCAACATAAAGAAATGCTTCGACTTTGATTCAGTTCTCACTCACTCACTGGCGAGTTATAGTGAGCAACATAAAGTAAATAAGAAGAAAACTTATTTGCATGTTCATTCGCATATTTTTTCAGTGTACGATAGTTTTTCCACAATAAGATAATTTTGAGCTTCCAATACAATTATTTCATATTTAAGATCTGGCAATGCTGATTACGCAGGAGTGCTTCCTGGGTCAGCCAGAGCTGCTGTGTTTAACATGGTGTCTGTGGCCCAAGGGACAGGCCTAGGAGCAATGGCCTAGAGCTGCAGCAGAGGGAATTTAGGTTTGAGATTAAGAGGGTATTCCTGACTTTGCAGGTGCCCGGGTATTGGAACAATCTGCTATCTTGGAAGTTTTCAGGTGTAGTGCGCAGGTTTGTTATTACCCTGAAATAGAATAGTTTTCTGATAGCATACTGTTAGGTTAACAATAATTTAGATTATTAAGAAGTATTAGCTTTACAGCTGAATACAAGGCATGACCTGTGGCCTAGCAATGCAGCTGACCACAAGGCAGATTGATAGCTAAGCCTTTGCTTGTGTCAAGTAATCATTTTAACTGTATTAAGCATTTTCTGAGTTAAAAGCAGCAAGTATCTCTGTGTCTGTGTGCTGAAAAATCAGCTACAGCAAGAAGTAAGATAAGACAGGGAAACCATTGTTCTGGGTGCACTGGTTGTGTCCTTGAAAAGTATCTACTACTGTGTAAGGTTTTGCTAACATATTATAATGTTACTGTTACTTAACTTTTAGCTTTTAAAAAAGTGCTAGTTCAGCTTAATAGAAATATGCTGTTACAAAAATTTAAAAAGCACCGCCCAAGTATTGCTTTTTTTGTTAACCATAAAGTCTTGCCTTGTTGTAATAAATATAAAAGATCACCTCACCCTTAGGGGGGGCCATTTTGCCTTTTGCTGGCTTTATGGTCTTTGCTCGAGCAAATAAACAGCTGTCTTTCTTTACCCGCGTTGTCTGTCAATCAAATTACAGCTAGACAACGAACCTTAGCGAGGTTTCTCCCACCACACAGCCCACGTGCAGCTCATTGTTTTGGGAGGGTGCTGCCAGCAGTAGAGGCAAGAGCTGGCATGACTGGATGTGTTAGCGCTGGAGCAGGCTACGTGGTGATGTGCATCCAGGCAGAAGCTGAGCGTCCGCTGAGCGTGTCAAAGCAGAAAGACCTACTCACCTGTCGCCCGTGGGGCCTTGGCTGCTTCCAAGGGACGGCTGCAGGCCCCGCACACACCTCGGACTGCCCAGAGTGACCCTTGCAGACGCCACACGACACGACACGTCCCGGGGGCCCTTCTGCCCCATGTCCCGCTCCTGTCACGCTGCGGCCCCTCGCTGAGACGCTGGCTCCAAGGACGGGGGCACGAGGAGGAGCCTGCGGGAAAGGGCAGACCCTCGTCAGACACTTTCACGGGAATGAAAACGCACGCACCGCTTACCGCACCGCAGTCGAGGAAATGACGCCCGGGGGCCGGCCCAGCACATTCCCATGAAGAGTGCTGAAATCAATCCCCACACAAAATGACCACTTTCCCACGCAAAAGCCATCACGTGCCGTCAAGAAAGCTTTCCAAATGCCCACGCCATTTCCCTCACACACCACATCCGCGTAGGCCGACTTTTACCCAATCCCCACACAATTTTCCACAGGTCCCGCAACACGCCAGTCGAATCAAAAAGTTCCTAAATCCCCCTACAATATATATACAGATATACGGAGCGGTAGATACATAGAGATTTAGAGAGATGAATCTGGAGGTATATAGAGCTCGACATATGTAGACATGTAGATATATGAAGCTGGAGCTATACAGAGCTGAAGATATACTGAGCTGCATATAGATAGATATACAGCTCTCTATATATGAAGCTGGATCTCTTCAGAGCTCCAGATATTTACACCTGGAGATATTCAGGAAAGTAGATATATAGAGATGTAGATCTATGAAGCTGGAGATGTGCAGAGCTGGAGATATATAGACAGGTAGATACAGAAAGCTGGAGCTATTCAGAGCTGGAGATATTTAGACCTTGAGATATGCAGAGCTGGAGATATTCAGAGAGGTCGATATATAAATAGGTAGAGGTATGAATCTGGAGATATGTAGAGCTGGAGGAATCTAGAGATGTACATATATGAAGCTGGAGATATTCAGAGCTGGAGATATTCAGAGCTGGAGATATTCAGAGCTGGAGATATTCAGAGCTGGAGATATTCAGAGCTGGAGATATTCAGAGCTGGAGATATTCAGAGCTGGAGATATTCAGAGCTGGAGATATTCAGAGCTGGAGATATTCAGAGCTGGAGATATTCAGAGCTGGAGATATTCAGAGCTGGAGATATTCAGAGCTGGAGATATTCAGAGCTGGAGATATTCAGAGCTGGAGATATTCAGAGATGTAGGCAGCTGAATCAGGAGATACCGAGAATTGGACATATATAGAGATGTCTACATAAGAAGCTGGAGTTATTCAAAAATGGAGATATTCAGCGAGGTACAGATATAGAGATGTAGATCTATGAAGCTGGAGATATGAAGAGGTGGAAATATATAGACAGGTAGACACATAAAGCTGGAGATATTCATATCCGGAGAAATGCAGAGCTCAAGATATTGAGAGCTGGAGATATTGATAGCTGGAAGGATTTAGAACAGGAGATATTCAGAGCTGGACATATTCAGAGAAGTCGATATATAGAGATGTCGATATTTCAAGCTGGACATATGCAGAGCTGAAAATAGACAGAGCTGGATATATATATACAGGTGGCTATATGAAGCTGGAGATATTCAGAGAGGTAAATATATAGAGATGTAGATCTATGAAGCTGGAGATATGAAGAGGTGGAAATATATAGACAGGTAGACACATAAAGCTGGAGATATTCATATCCGGAGAAATGCAGAGCTCAAGATATTGAGAGCTGGAGATATTGATAGCTGGAAGGATTTAGAACAGGAGATATTCAGAGCTGGACATATTCAGAGAAGTCGATATATAGAGATGTCGATATTTCAAGCTGGACATATGCAGAGCTGAAAATAGACAGAGCTGGATATATCTATACAGGTGGCTATATGAAGCTGGAGATATTCAGAGAGGTAAATATATAGAGATGTAGATCTATGAAGCTGGAGACGTGCAGAGCTGGAGATATATAGACAGGTAGATACAGAAAGCTGGAGCTATTCAGAGCTGGAGATATTCAGAGCTGAAGATATTTAGACCTTGAGATATGCAGAGCTGGAGATATTCAGAGAGGTCGATATATAAATAGGTAGAGGTATGAATCTGCAGATATGTAGAGCTGGAGAAATCTAGAGATGTACATATATGAAGCTGGAGATATTCAGAGCTGGACATAT